TACGAGACCTCTTTCATGAGGATGTGTTTATTGGCTTAGAAAACAGTGCTTAGGAGTCTGGGGGAAACAATAACAGGTCATCAGATAATTAAACAATATCTGCTCCAGCCTTCCAGGTGAGCAGGCATCAATGTGAAGAAAAGCAGCGTGTCTAACAATTCTGGTTTCTCTGGTGCTTTCTGTAGTCGCGTGGGCCTCGTGTCCTCTACAGATGAGAACCAAACCCCAAGGTTGTACTCTGACCTCCACAGGCTTGCCATGCCACACGCAACCGCCCACATGCAAGAATCCCACAGCGGGGAAAATCTTGCACACACAGGGAAATACATATCAAAGGTGGTAACGGGCTCAGAAGGACAAAGTTTCTCTCTCACATGCAAATCCTAGTGTCTGTCTGTGAAATGTGTGTGTCCGGTGGAAATAAATGTGACTATACCCCAAGACCCACATAGCAAAGGCTTTCAGGGAAAGGTCACACAGGAGAACAGAAGGAAGAGGGGGAGGGGAATTACTTGAGAACAGTGGGAGAAGGCGGGCCAGTGAGATGAGGGAGACGGGGAGGCGCAGGAGAATCATCGAACCATGAAATAAACTTGAAAGCAGCATAGGGGAAGTGTGTTACTATTAAAGCTAATTTATTAAACATATTTAAGAAAATTAAACAGTCCTGGATATACCTCCTGGATATGCCTGTGAACAGGGACATAGAGCACCAAACTATGGTTCTCTTTGCTCATGGTTGTCCTTTTCCAGACTGGGGTTATGTTTGAAATTGTGATCTGCTTGCCCTGGGTATCAGTCTTAATACCAGGGTGGCCACACATTGCTCCCTAACAGTAATTTGCAGCTTTGCAAGGGCTGGAGGATCCCCAGCAGGGTGTTTTACTTTCGCTACATTGTATTTTCACTAAGGCTTTAGGCCATGTTTGGATGTGTCGAGATAAAAAACTTCAGAGAAGCACAGTGCAGTCATACTGTATAGCAAAACAACCTACATCTACTGTGAGCCGCATACGCTCTGGATTCTAAGAGTTAGATCAAAACTTGAGACCTCTAGGCTTGGTCTCACAGAGACCACTCTACAGTCTTCTCGCTGATGTTTTGTCACTAAGTGGATTGCTTGTTTAATGTCTGACATGTAAGAAACTTACGAGCCATCATTTGGTTCTCTCAAGAAAACAGATGTGCAAACTGAAAGACAGCAGTTCTTACATTCTCCAGAGAAGTGTGGTCCTACCCTCGAGAGACACTCCTTTACCATCAGTGTGTGTGTGTGTGTGTGTGTGTGTGTGTGTGTGTGTGTGTGTGTGTGTGTGTGTGTGTGTGTGTGTGTTTGTCTCCTTACTTTTCTTGACGCCATAACAGAAACCAGTCAAGGAACAGACTTTCTCTGCTCGCTGTTTTAGGGGCTTTTACTCCATCATTGCGGAGAAGGAGTAGCAGAGTTCAGGACAGGAGGACTATAGCAGACTGTTTACACACATCTGGACAGACCCCAGAAACAGAGAATCACTCAGAACCAGGGCTAGACTTAACCCTCGACTGAAGATGGAAAACAAGCAACACCAAAAATACCAGGAAGGGGAGTCATACTTTATTAGAGAGAGAGAAGTCACTTACATGAGAAGCCGAGACCTGAGGTCAGCGCTCCTACCTGGACCGCAGCCCCAAGAGAGAGCCTGACCCCTCCTTCCTTGCCTTTATCCCTGCCTCTCCCCCACATACCTGTGACCACGCCCAAATAGGCGTGGTCAGTGCTATGAGTATGAGATCTCTACCTACACTGATGCCCCTTCCTTGTGACCTTCACTAACCATACCGCGCTTCCTAAAAGCCCCACATCCTCCAAGTAATGGCACACACCCGAGACCAAGCATTTCAACCATGAGCCCATGGAGGGGTATTGCAGATTCAAACCACAAGGTGTGTCTTTTGGAGAGGGGCGGTTAGCCAACCCCAGCATTCTTCACTCTCGGCATCTCACCTGATGGAAGTGGGCAGATGCTAAGAATGTCTTCTGAAGCCTGGGACTCAGCTACAGTGGTCCAGTGTTAATAAGAAAGCTAGTATTTCCATTCAGCAAAAAAAAAAAAAAAAAAAAAACCGCAAGCCTCTCATATGGCAATACCGTGTCACAGGCAATAATTGAAAAATAAGCTATTTAAGGACTCAAACAATGCAGGAAACACACGAGGATGTGAGAGCGAAGAGAAAGCTTTGGAATTGTTAATACACCAAACATTGAACGTAACCCAACTTTTACCCCTTTGTGCATAAAACCTCACGTCAAAGACATTATGCGTGACCTTTGAAAAATTCGCCATGCAGCTAAGTGACAAGAGGAAAACAGCATAGATCTACAAATCAACAATTAGAATCTGTCTTGAATATGTAGTGGAGATTTTCATATTATGGGTAGTTGTATAACCAAGCTATGCTAAGGGCTCTGTTGAACAAACCTGTACAGAGTAGTAAAGCAGGCTGGAAAAAAACTGAACACTGTTTTTAAAAAAATTAATGGGTAATGCTAGGAATCAAAGAGCTGAAAGAGAGGTGAAACGTGCTTTGTCAACAGACTAGACAGACTGAAGGAGGAATAGGAATGTTCAAACACTTCAAAGGGCTTCCCAAAATGAAAACCAATGAAATTAAATATAGAAAATGATGGTATAGAATCATCGGATGTTTTTGAAGGGTTTGATCAGAGTACCAGAAGAAAAAGTGAAAAGGAACAGAAAAATAAATGTATTTGACATATGAATATTCCAGAATTAATGACCATTTCCAAAGCAGACATCCAGTAAGTGGAAAGAATACAATGCATATTAAACACCCAAAGCTCCTGTACCTAGACTTATCTCAACCCAGGCTTATCCATACCTCACGAGAGCAAAATCAAAGAGAGATATTTTAACTTATATTTTAATTCAGTTCTATGTGGCATCTCCTCACATCCTTCCCTGGCTCTCCTTCCCCTATCCCCTCATACTCACTCATATCCCCAGACCCCCTACCCATCCTCATATATGTGTCGACAGATTATTTATGATTTAATAAAGATTGCCTGAAGTATCGAAATGCAAAGCCAGACACACTAGCTAGCCGTAGAAGCTGAGCAGTGGTGGCACACACCTTTAATCCCAGGACTCAGGAGACAGACACAGACGGATCACTCTGTGAGCCCAAGGCCACCCAAGGCAACACAAGATTGAATCAGTCTAAAAGAGAGCTAGAGCTCACGCCTTTAATCCCAATATCAGCATCTGGGTTTTTATTATTTTTGTGTTACATATATAAACGTTCCCTTCCCCAGTATTCCCCACACACACTTCTTCTCACGTATATCCCACTGATCTTTGGAAGGTCTCCCCTCCCATGGATCCTGCTTTATCTTCTGATCTCTACAGATACTCAAAATTAAGTGCACACACAACACACACACACTCAACATTTGAAGATAGGATTCACATATGAGACAGAATGTATAGTTTTGTCTTTTGGGGCCTAGGTTACCCAAACCATTTTATTTCCTAGTCTTATCCACTGTCCTATAAATTGGGTAATGTTATTCTTCTTTATATGTATAGCCGAATAAAAACCTATTGTATTTATGTAACAGACGTTCATTATCCACTCATCAATTGATGGACATCCAGGTTGATCCCATTTCTTTGCCATTGGGAATAGGGCAGCAGTGAACACTTGAGAACAAGTCTCTCAGTAGTAAGTAAGTAGTAAGATAAAGAGCCTTTTGAATATACATCCAGGGAGCCATATAGCTGGGTCGTGTGGAAGTCCAGTTTTTAGCTACCTCCACTTTGATCTCCAGATTACAGCGCCACTAACGCTGAATGCGGATCCCCTTGCCCTATATCCTCACCAGCATTTGGCGTCATTTGTTTCATTGATGAGAGATATTTTGACGGGGGTGAGATGAACTCTCAAAGCAGTTTTCAACTGGCCTTGTGGTTGTTGACACTGAACCCCGAAAGGAGGGAAAGCCACCTAATAATGGAGTACGGCGAGCACTGAATTTCGAAGGGAATGGAATCAGAAGACATCTGTATCGTCCCCTTGCAAGTCATAGCCCCGTGAAGACACCCTTCACGGGTGGAGGAGTGTGCATCCAAAAGCACAGTCCAGGCGAACAGAACCTAGGGGGTTCATTTCCTTTGAGGAAATGTGCAACCTCTCCAGAGAGGAGGAAAATGACGCCAGGAGTTTGCAGCTACATAGAGAAGTGCGTTAGAGAAATGGAAATGAGAAGATCATAAACTATTTTCCATGTCTGGGTAGCCACTGGTATCGTAAAGTGTGTGGTGAGATCTGCAGGACAACTAGTAAAAACACTGAGTATAGTTGATGTACTTAATGAAGAGTTGAATGGGGCCATAAAATGCTCAGTTGAAATCAGAGGAGAAATGAGACAAAGCAGAAAATAAGCATGACAAATTTGAAATGAAGCAAAATCAAAGTAGATCATAGACCGAAATGTAAAACACATGACTATAAAATCCCTACAAGGTAGCAAAGGAGAAGATGCAGATAACCTGGTGTGTTGATGGCTGAGATGCAACCCCGAAAACGCTGTCCAGACAGAGAGACGTTGTATTAAAATGAAGGCATCCCGCGTGAGGAGGGAGGAGAGGTTCAAAAGACGAATCGGAAACTAGGAGAGAATATATTCCGGAGCATCTGATAAAGGACTTGCATCAAAGTGTTCAAAGACCTATTGAGACTACACAGGAAAGTCATCCAGCCCCAAAGGGACAGGTTTGCGGACACCCCAGCAGACCCCGTGGCAGTACACATGGAAAAGCTGTGATCATGCAACATATGGGGAATTGCATTGTAGAGCATCAAGATGCTACATAACCTAGCATTAAAATAAAAGGCCTGAGATAGGGATGAGAATGAGGAGCAATGGGAATGCCCATTTATTTACTGGGAATGCAAAATGGCATGCCTGCGTCAGCAGACACTTTGATAGTTTCATACAGTTCTTACTGTACACCCTAGGAGCTTACAACTTCAGGTAGTTAACCAAATGAATTTAAGTACACCCATACAGAAAGACTCAAACACTGGTACTTATGGCGGCAGCCTTCCTTAGCTCTAGCTACAAAGCTTTAAACAGCCAAGATGTTCTTAAGTAGGTGAGTGGGTAAATAATATATGCTGGTATCCGTATGACAGAGTATTATTCAACAGTAAAAAGAAATGAGCTCCTTTTTGGAGGAAAATTAATTGCCTATTGCCAAGTACAAGAAGCCAGTCTAAAAAGCTTACCTCTTCTATCGGGCCAAGTCTATGACTCTGTAATAGACGCAGCTGTATAAACACCAGGAAGATAGCTGTTTGTTAGGGGCTCAGGGGGAGGGCACAGGGAAGGTACCCACAGGTTGGAAGAAGAAACATGCATGAAACCAGCAACCACACCAGTACATACGCTGCATTTTTAAAACCCAGAGAACTGTGAAATACAAAGATATGGTGTCTTAGCATAAACCAAGGCCTTCGGTGCTAATAAGATGTATCCACGCTGGTTCATCAGTTGTAAGACATGTGCCACATGAATATAATACATTAATAACGGGGGAAACTGAGGTGTAAGGTATACAGGACACATGGAGGCTCTCTATAGTGTGCTCCGTATTCCTGTATACTTTAACTGCCATGAATTGAAAGGCTTACTTTTTAAAAACTCATCATGAGCGTTTGGTATCTTGGTAATACACCGGTAGCATGTGGTGCCCTCACGCTCATGTGCTGGGTTTGGGGATGGTAGACATAGACAGGACAAGCCGGAGGGGTGGGGGAACATGAGGGAGGTGATTTTTTTTTTTGCAGTGGCTCAAAAGTTGCTTCAGAGGGCATCAACTTGGCACCCACTGTAACTTCAAGGGGACGTTCCAGCAGCTAAGGGAAAGGAAACTGATAATACTCCAGAACTGCACAATGAATATTCTCTGTTTTAGCCTAGAAGCATTTAACTGTGGACTATAAATGGCTACAGTGCTGTCAGACGACGCAAATGAGATCTGACTACCCAGCCGCGTCTGTTCTCGGCAACGCTCTCCTGCAGACTCCGCTACTGTCTTCAGGTGTCAATTAAAACATTAATAATTGGAGCTTACAAACTGGGATAAAATGTAGTGGGTTCCTCATTACGGAGGATGGTTATCTGACTAGCCCAGGTTTTAGGAGGGGAAAGAAGCATACAGTAGAACCTTCTCTGAGGTAGAAAGCATCTCACATTGGAGGTGCTGGGATGGGAGATTTCAGAGCCGTTCTGAGACAGGCCTCATCTGTCTCCTCTCAATGCCACCTAAGCTGCACTCTCCAGGATGCTGGAGGCCCTGACTCGGGCCCCCTAGGCTTTCCAGATACTTGGGGTTCGGTGGAAGGGACTGGGTGCCTTGTGGGATTGCTACCGAGAATGACCTGAGCTCTTTTGTTATCCCAAGTTTTAATTATCCTGTATATTCATTCAAGAAAGCTCCCTTCACCCATTTTCCTCATGCAGACCTTTGGTGTCAACTTCCAAATAGTTCATAAAAATAAGAACACAGTTTATGTTTGTTTTTGTTTTGTGAGAACGGAGACATTGTTTACAGGCGACGAATTTTGGAGAACTCTAAGCATTGAGTTTGGCAGAGTGTTTTGCAAACTACAAGGTAGAGGAAAATTAAAATACAAGAATGAGAAAGTGAGTAAAACTGCGTTTACTTGCATAGTGTGGCCTCTGCAGGGAAAGAGAACAAACAAGCTTGTTTTGTAAGAAAATGTTTGTAAAGTTGGGTTTCTTGCTCCATAAAGGTAGACACAAAGTTCATGGTTTGCTCTAAAGGACACAGCAAAGTTGAAGATGCTGGAGCAATTTGGAAAATGAGACAGTGAAAGTTCTTTTTCCAAAGAGCTTTTGAACAAATATTGTCCTAGGTTGCTCTATCCAGACAGCCCTGCTGTTTTGGCATTTCATTAAATTGCTAGGAAGGAAGACTTTTAAATAGTAATGGTGTGCACCTATGTCTGAGTTGGAGAGAGAGCCGGGGTGTGCTGTCTTGATTCTATGTAAATGATCCGTGCCTGTATCATCAGGCAGGCAGTCATTTCGGTAGGTGCCTGAACTGAAAGTCATTACTGATAAGTAGACATGAGAGCTGTTGCTGGCCCCAGAATGCTTCGCTTAAGTCATGTTGGCCTGTTATGTAAGCTAGGAGGTTCACTAATTTCTTACCTCTTTATAAAGGGGTGGCTATTATTAAAATGAGTAATGTATATAAATAAAGTATATCTCAGTACCGTATGAAAATCAGAATATGAAATATACATGAAATGTTTACTGTATCAATTAGGCATTTGGGTGAGTCACTCCGAATATTGCATCCCTTCTTGTTGCCATTGTTACCATTGCCTTGTGGGGTACATCATGTATCATTTATGTCACTGGGTGTATTCATCAGCCTAGACAACTATCGCTTCTATTATTTACACGGCTTTCCCTTATTTGCTGTCCTATTATATCATTCCTCATCAATTTGTCTTCTATCTTGCATAATTTTATCCGGTGGACCTTTCCTTCAAAGTTCAACTGCCAATCCATTAGTGTTTTTTTTTAACCCACAGGGATATCAGTTTGTGAAATAACCCTGAGAGAATGAATAAACAATAAAGGACAGGATTTAAGGAACCCACAAACTTGAAAGGGGGAAGAAGTCACCTCAGTCATTACAGGTAGAGCCGTTTTGATGAGTTCACTTAGAAGGCCTGTAGAAAGATGTGACTTAAAAACCAAAACCCAAGTTTCCTCTTGCCTAGATTTTACATGTTTCCCATGAAACATGACCTTTCATTAGACATTTTTAGCAATCACATCTTAATGTGTTCATTATTGTGGTAACAGCTATTATGACAGCATTTTCTCCAGATGTGCCTGTATTAAAGGTCAGCCTCATGTAGTCTCTCCCACCTTCCCATCTTGTGACCGAGGCCTCCAAGCAGCAGGGAAATGACTTATCCAAGGTAGTGCAGCATTTCTTTATGCACCAGAATCCATCCCCTGTAGTGTACGTGCTAAACTGTGTGGTTTAGCGGGTGACACAGAGGAAGAAGAGTTGGGAATAAGTCTGCTGGACACAGCCAAGACATTGAACGTGGCAGCCTTGATAACCTCACCCGAGAAGCAGCAGTCATCCGTACCTCTCCAAGCAGGCAAGTCCATCAGAAGAGACAGCTGGCAGGAAGGGGCATGGTGCACACGCTGGTGTTACCCCTCTTTAATGTCTTGCAAGGTGGACTCATAATCCTTTAGGTGTGACTGTTGGATATGATACCTGTTGCCTAGTAGGGCGCCACCTAGTGTGAGTTACCAGAGGCTCCTGATACACAGCTCTCTTCCTGACCATTGCCAGATTCTCACACAAACGCAACAGGGAACTTCTCCAGAAACCTCTCAACTTTCCCTGCATCGAGAAGACTGGCGTTGAGGCTGAAGTCAAGAGTTGGGTTGAATAAATGTTACTGTGCATGTTTCACACATATACTGGCTATGAGGAAAGTCTGAACTAGTCTTCCTTGGGACCTGTGAATCGGGGGGTCCCAAGTCAGGTATCATGTCTGTGGTCTTAAGTCCCCTGCTCCAGAAGATTTATCAGAAAATGAGCAGAACTTGGCTCTGAATGGCATGGGTGTGAGCCTAACTCTGGATGTCATGGGTGTGAGCCTATCTCTGGATGGCATTGCATAACCCTAACTCTGGATGTCATGGGCGTGAGCCTACCTCTGCATGGCATGGGTGTGAGCCTACCTCTGTATGGCACAGGTGTGAGCCTACCTCTGGATGGCACAGGTGTGAGCCTACTTCTGAATGACATGAGTGTTAGCGTACCTCTGCCTGGCATGGGTGTGAGCCTACCTCTGGATGGCACAGGTGTGAGCCTACCTCTGGATAGCATGCTCATGAGCCTACCTCTGAATGGCATGCGTGTGAGCCTACCTCTGGCTCAGGGCCCTACGTTTGTGTCCTTCACAATGTTTAAGCTGAGTGGTTGGAGAGACGCTTGGTGTCATTGTGCTGAGCCTCATGGTGTCAGATAATTTAAAGCAGTACACACTGAAAACTTAAACTCATGTCCAAAGTGTCAAAAATGTCCTATGGGTAATTCATTCCTCCAAGGGTTAGAATCTCTTTAGGCTCCAAGAACCAAAGTGAAATGGATAAGATGGGCCCTTGCTTATCTTCATCTCAGGATAGTAAATACAGCTTTCATTGACAAGGGAGTGATATACAGTTTAAGTTGCTCTCCTAAGAGTGAACAGCATGAGATAAAGGTGGGAACGAGGTGTTTTAGTGTCTTCCAGAGGGATTATATGAAGTTACCTGTAAGCAAGCTGTGCTACTGAGGGCTGAATTATGTGAAGGCTGACTTTAGTATTGATTATGGAATCTACTGTTCTGCAAGAGGCACTCAGTCCAGTAAGCCTCGCTTTCCATTATGCCAGTGTCTAGCAAGGAAGAGCTGCTGATCCACGTTGATTGCAATATATTGATTCATTTAAAGTTTGCTATATATTAGCTGCTGTGTTTCGCTCAATGCTATTAATTTTCTATTGAAATTTTTCTGAGTGCACTTTATTGCTTTCTGATTTAGACTTGCTGGACTCCATAGTTATTATTTTAACAGTGTCTTAAATGGTATCGGTCAGTGTGAGAGTATCACATTGTGAGACTGTCTAATTAAAGGTAGGCTATTGGGACTGATACGTTTCCATATGTCTTAAACTATTCCGTCAAAGAAAAACACTTGTGGAGTTGATTTACAGCGGCCTCTTAGCCATGGCTAAGTATTTCTGTGAGTTCTTGGTAAGTGTCTGGAACGGCCTCTGGTTGCTTTTCAGAAGACTTCAAAGCTGACATTTTCTAATTGGACAGTACAGAATTAGAGGAGCCGTGAGGAAAGCCAGTCAGGAATCAAGCCCCAAGCTCAGCAGCCTGATGTACGCCATCAATGTTTAATGAGACA